GGGGGGGGGGGGGGGGGGGGGGGGGGGGGGGGGGGGTTGAATCGAACGTGGCATTATGATGCAGTACTGCAGTTAATGTGACCTTATTGAACTGTTCGTCACATGTTTGTTTAAGCAAAAATACCATTGCATATCTGCACTTAAAAGCGAGCACTGTTTTTGTTAATCGATTATAATATCCAGGATTCAGTTGTTCATTCTAAATATATTTTGATAGCTCTGCGGCAGCAGCTTTGAAACCTGAAGTATCTGTATTAGAGAAAGGTGGTGGATACGGCGTCCACTTATGTAGTAGATAAAATTAAAAAGTGTTGCTTGCTTACACAGTCTTTGCAGTGCTAGTAATGGGAAAGGCGTCTCGTAAGTTAGTGAGATTTGTTCATCCTGCTTTTTTCTACTTAGCTCCAGAGCTAACGTTATCCTCTGTACTGTTTATCCTGAAGAAGTAGGGCTCTCTGTGAATCTAGAAGGCTGATTCTCGAATCTTATTTCGAATTGGAGTAGTACGTGTTCTTCGTTTACACGTTTTCATCTGTACATTCAGAGTCTAGGTTCTTTCGGATTGTTTTTGTGCGCATTTACCAGATTTTCTAACATTTCTGAGTTAATTGCCGTGTGCACAACAGCGCACATGAAGATAAGGGGTTTGATAAATTCGCAGCGGATTAAGTGTACTGGGAAGAATTGAATGCATTTGAATATGTGATTGTCAATCTGTAGCTGTCTCGTCATGGTTCCGGAGTGGTAGTGTCTGGAGCTAGTTAATGATGCGAAACACACCATGGACATCTTGAGACAGCCTGGCTTGTCAGATGCTTCTGTTGGGGAGAACCGTTGAGGTGGGATTCCTTCAATAGGCGAAATGATTATTGGGCTTGCCAACATGCCGACCTCTGTGGCGTCACACGGTCAGGCTGAAAAAGTTGCCACTTGTATGGATGAAACAGACTGTATATTAGCAATTGTACCAATCATCTCAGTTATGCGTGTTCAGAGATCGAGCAGTTATCAGAAGAGGGAAATACAGTGGCTGAAAACTATATGGAAAATTTCAGGAAAAGTCAACTGCTGGAGGGGCGGCAAGTAGGAGTATGTAATAGGCATTTGTAAGGCCAAAAGCACAGTACACTTGCAAAAATGAATTATTTTCCAGTTGTCTAAAGATGCGGTCGTATTGAAGAAGCATGTTGCAGTGGTTCGTGGTGAAGTGCTGGTTGTTTCTTTGTTGGATAAGGTGTTGTTGCGGGTGGAGTTAGCCTATCATCCTTTCGAAGATGGTAATGCTCATTTTTCGAATTTCCATTATTTTTAAGGCGATCCTGTATTGTTCAGGCTTTTCACCGCCTGCCTTGAAATGGTATTTAAAAAGTGGCCTGGAGAACAACGAACAGATGAATCACTTAAGCTAGTTGTTATTGCCGACACCTCTTGAGGAATAAGCGGAACTCAACGCACGAAGTAAGAAAGCGGTCCTGAAAATCAGCGCATGCAAAGTCTCTGCATGCTCGCGGCAAGATTGCAGATAGATGGTATGGACTTGGGAGATGTTGACAGTTACATCTATCTTGGATACGAAGTAAATATGCGTCACAGTTTCCAGCCTGAATGCCCATTGACGTTCTGCCGGTTAGCGCAGATTCCACTGCATCGCCAATAACTGGAAAGCATTGAATTGGAAAGACCGTGCCAACCTCTTCAACACCGCTCTGTTGAGGGCAACGACATACGAATGCGAAACGCCGCCTCTCACGGGCACAAAGGAGCAAGCGCTGGCAGTGACAAAATGGAGAGAAGGAGCTTGGCGTATTTGTCCGCGAGCATATAAACAATCACATTCTCCGTGAGATGCGACGTCCGGAATATCACTGCGTCCACGGAAGAAAGTAAAATCCGGTGGCCGGACATGTTGCTCACCTTGTTGAAAACCGATGGACAATGCGCATTAGTGAGTAGTACCGATGGAGAAATAAGCGGCCACTCGGGCAAGGCCCGAAGAGGTGGCGCACATACATACAGTAGGCGATGGTTGCTAACTGGAGGCAGTAACCCGGGAATGAAACCTGGCGTAGCTGCTCGCGGCGTGTGGGACCATCGTTGTAACATCACTCAGAGCGAATATCCAAATTACTATCCCCGAGCAGTTTTAGTATCCTTGGTAAATTAGAGCATTCAGGTGTTGTTGAATACTGTTGTGGGATTTGCCACTATCTGTATTCTGTTCGGTACGAAATGGAAGCAAGTCATTTTCTGGCAGTGAATTCTGTCGTAGTTGCATATGACGTCTAGTCATTTGCAGTGGCTGCACACTGATGGCTTAGTCGATCCCGCTGTTTTAGATCTTTGCTTCTATACTATTCTTGCGTTAGCTTGCACTCGTTCTGCTCCTTTTGTTTTTCGTTTGCAACATCGCACCTTTTTAATTTTTTTTAAACTTTGATGCCGAGTATTTGCAGGTCCATTGCCAGCGGCTGGCGATGCATACTTGAACCGGACCCTTCGGCATTTGTATTTCAATGACCTATGTGTCCGTGATGCTCGTCAGCAGACATTTGTGGCAATGCCCCTTACCACACTGCCCGATACGCTAGATCTGAGGGGACCCTATGCAATGAATGATGAGGAGGTAATACAGTCGAGTTTAAATTTTAGTTTTCTTTGGACGTAAATTTAGAGGAAATCTTAAAGTTTCGTTTACATGAGGACCGTGTGCGTTTTTGTAAACCTGTTTAGGATCTTATGGATCATTAAACAATTTTCGGGCGCGGTCTTCATGAAAACAAAATTGACTGTCTTTTCAGTTCAGCAGTGAATAACTATTCAGAGGTAGTACAAACGAACAATAATTGATTGGTTCGTTTCAAGAGTGTGATACTTAGGTTGTGCCAGGCATGCGGAAAATTCAGAATATCCATGGCATACTTGCACAATGAGAGAATTCTCATTAATACTGCTAACAAATAGTGGCACTCGGGCATCAGCAGGGCCTGCATCTGTCTTTGTATGACACATAAAGCGGCTAGAAGATTAGTTTTTTCATAAAAGAAGATGGCAGCGTTGCTGATTTTCTATGCGTTTTGTGCTGCAACAGTTGTACAAAAAGCATATTGTCGAGAGCCGTGTGTGAAGTATGTGTGTGTGTTCCGAGTTCATTTTATTCGGGTTTTTCAACTCGGGAACCGGAGGAGCTAGGAAGTTGAAATTTTAGCAGACTGTTCCTCGCCCACATGCGACCCCAGAAACTTAAATTCAGCCCTCACGTACCTCCAGTGCCACCTACGACCTGCGAAAGTTTTGGCGAGAAGAGTTATTGTCTCGGGAACCACAAAATCTGGGAAGCTGAAATTGTAGTAGAATTTTCGCCACCCAGATGCAGCTCCGTGAACGTTTTGGCAGAAAAATTATTGTCTCGGGAGCCACGAAGGCTGGGAGGCCGAAATTTTAGGAGAATATCCTTTGCTCACGTACGACGCTATGAATTTAGATTCAGCTTCTCCGCTGTCCTGGATACCACGTATGGCCCCATGAAAGTTTCACTGAGAAAAATTACTGTCTCGGGAATCACGAAAGCTAGGAGGTCGGAATTTAGAGTAATGTCCTTTGCCCACGTACAACTCCACAAATCCGAATTCAGCTTTCACGTAAGCCTGGGTTACACGTGCGGTCCCGTGAGAATTTTGGCAAGAAAAATTAATATGGGAGCAAGAGGAGCTGGAAGACTGAAAAGTTCATTTTGTAATGCGGGGGTTTAATAGACTGAAACTTTGCTCGCAGTTATGACGAGCTCTCATGCAAGGCTACATAAAAGTTTACTCGGAATCTAGAGGATTAGGAGGTTGAAATTTCGGAACTGTGTTCACCGTCCAAAATTCAAATTCAGCTTTCACGTACGTTTGCGTTTTATGTAGTGGTACGTGAAATTTTTAATGAGAAATTTCGCAGCTTAGGAGCCAAACAGCATATGGGCTATTTTGCCACAAATCAAAGTGTGAACCAATGAAAATCTTTAGCAGGCAAACGTCTGCTAGTCAAAAATGCGCAAAACGCGCAATTACACCGACTGCTGTGGCGCATCGCTACTTTTTTTTTTTTTGTAAAAACCTGATAGTAACGCGCAACAAGGTTTCCAGTGCTGCCGTGCACTTTTATACGAAGCTTAGGGCACTCAAATCGTTAACAGTCTGAATGGTTGTTGCTTTGCAGTCGAATATGTGCGCGCATTTTGGCTGTATTTTAGTCTTTTCTTTTATGCGAAAGAAAGGGGCCGTGGCTGGGACAGTAGTCTTGCATCATGGGGCCATTCATCCATAAGAACTCACAGCGCGGCATTCAGCTCAATGCTGTCGAATGCCTTTTCGTAATCGACGAATGGAAGAGGAAGTTGGTACTTTCCTGCACTTTCTAGCAACTAGCATAGAACGAAAATGTGGTCCGTAGTGCTGTAATTAATTCGAAGTCTAGTTTGCTTCCTCGGCTGCTGTTCATCCAGAAGTCTTGTTAGTCGGTTACTGATAATCCTTGTGAATAATTTGTAAATATAAGAAAATAGGCCGACCGGTAGTAATCCTCTAGATCTTGTCGTCTTTTTTATGCAGCAGAGCTGCTTTCAACTCCTTCCATCTGTTGAGTATTTTTCTTTCGGCCAGCTACCGACTGAACCGAGTGGCAAGAGCTTTCCAAATTTCGTTCCGTCTGGTTCCGACCATTTCGGTGTTAATGCAGACATTTCAGGGAGCCTTTCCTCTTTTCATTTGGGAGAGCTGCATATTTACTGCGCTAACAAGTAGTGGAGGGATTCGCTGCTTAGTAGTGCGAATTATGGGTTCGGGAATGTCGGTGCGTGATGCAAACAGATTTGTGTAGAATTTTTCACAAATGTCCTCTATGTCTGTCCGGCTTGTTATCCAGTATCGACTTCCGTCATTTAGCGCTGCCTTTGGAAGATGGTACAGCAGGAGTTCTCTCCGGAATTTATGTAGGCTCTTTTTTCTTTGAACCGCCTCTACCTTCCACTGACAATTATGATTGTGGAGATCCTCCTTCAGAAATGGGAGCACCCCATCACCTGGGTTTTACTCCTTTTCGTGTTTCTTTTCTCCAACTGCATTTTTGTAGCTGAATTTTGACCGTTGAGATCGGGCACATTTAGTCGTGCTAATAACAAATGATAAACATGGCCTCTTCCACTTACCGCCTTACGCTTTTCATTTATTGCCTTGCTAACTTCGTTTATGTCTGTCATAAAATAGGACAACGTATATGAATTACGAAAGGGAAGGCGGTGGATGACTGCATCGTTATGCACGCACAACAACTTTCGTTATGCATTTTTGTGTATTTATGCAACTGCAAAAGCGAATATTGCGGCGAATTATTATGTATGTATGTGCGTTTGTGTGTATATTTATGTGCATGCGTGTGTACATCTGTGTTTGTGTGTCTGTCTGGGTTTTTCAACTCGGCAACCAAGCATACTTTGATCTTGGAATTTTGTCAAGATGTTCCCTGACCAAGCGCTATCCCGGGGCATGGCACCAACTTTCGCGCACGTTTGAGACAACGTGCGTGAAAGTTCACGCACATACACGTGAAAGTTTTAGCGAGGAAATTGTGGATTCGGGAACAAAAAAATTAGGAAAACAAATTTTGAGGAGATATTTCCTGTCTGCGTCAAATTTAATTTCAAATCCAGTTCCTAAGCAGACTTGGTTCTAACTTACGAGCACGCGAAATTTTTGGGAGGAAAATTGCTACTCAGGAACCGAAAAAACTAGATTGAAATTTTCGAGGGTGTTCTCTGCTCGTATGCGATGCAAAGATTTCAGATTCAGTTCCTAAGTGGGCCTGGTTTTTATGCGTTTTTGCTGTGTGGCGCTATAGCGCTGTTACAGCGAGCAAAAATGCATATTGTTGAGAGGTCGTCTATGTGTGTGTGTGTGTGTTCGGAAGCGAGTGAACTTTCGACTTTCATCTCAGCAACCAGGAAAGCTGGGGGGCTGAAATTTCGGGTATACGTCCCTACCCCATGTGTCATCCTCCCGTTTTAAAATTTTCGTTCATACGCGCGTAGGCGCGAAAAAAATATTTAAATTTCTTTGGCGGGAAGCGATTTCGTGAACCAGGCATGGTACGGAGCTGAGACTTTGCAGGAATATTCTCTGTGCATGTATGAGCCAAAAATTGGCCAACGCACGGGCTGT